TCCTCAGTGAAGCTGCCATCCAAGCCAGCATGGCAACAGGAACTGTAAGGACCTGCCTGAGGCCTCTGGGAATTACACACCAGTGCTGACTCTCCCTGGACAGCCTCATTTATGAGCCAGGCTATGGGAGGTTTGCCTTCTTTAGGTTTTTGTTTGTAAATGTTTTAAAATGCAGCTAGTGACTCACAGAGCTGGTTTGTTTCACTTGCTTAAATAATACACAAAGTCACTTTTAAATACTGTGTAATTTTTTACCACTGTCTGAGGTATTTTTCCTCTTCTCTTGGCACTGGTAGGATCAAATAATGTATGAAGAGCTGCAGAAGTCACTGTGCAGGTGATCCATTTGGACAATTCCCAAAAGAGACTCACTACACTGGTGAAGAGTTCTGCAGTGCCTGTTTTCAAGAGGCGAGTTGGAAAGAAGCTCTACTAAATCTATCTCTCAACTTTTTATACCTGAAAAAATGATCATCACAATCTACTGCTCCAAAGCATCCTTAATTTAACTGTCTCCAGAATAAAAGATACAATGAATGCTTTTAGTGTTAAAAAGCTAACACCATTCTGATCTATTTGGTGCCCTGAATCAGAGATCCCTGAGGCACAGGCCAACCCTTCCAGGTGTTTACAAACAGCTGTTTTCAACCACCAGAGAAAACTGCTGTTTTCCACAACAAGGACAGTGAAAGTAGGCTGGGAAAGTGCTGCACTGGATGTTATCACACCATTAATCATGCATTTTCCAAGGACAGGTTCTCTGAGCTCCTAACAGCTTCCTTCCACCTTACCAAAATAAAGTGCCCACAGATGGCAAGCCTGAGTTATCTAGGAGAGAGTAAAGTTTGGAAATTGGAGAAGTGCTATGATACTATGATTCAACCTAAGAAACAATTGAGTTAAGAGGTACTTAACAAGCTACTGCTTAATTATTTTCCTTAAACAGATAAATTTTCAAAATTGGGAAGCATCCAAGTTAAGACAAAACACTGAAAAGTGACAGATTATGAAACCTACAAGCCTTCAGGGAAAAACCCCAGTGAAATAGTTTTTGTAAGCAACATTTAATCTCCTGCTTGAATTCATTTAAACAAATACCCTGAACAACCAGATCTAACTACAAGACTGACCTTGATAGAGAATAGTACCTTACATCTTAAATTCTTCTCAGAATTGCCAGCTAACAAGAAATTTTGCTGCACCTTTTTACCCAAAGGTACATGTTTGAAGGCTATCAGATGTAACTTACCATCACAGACTTGCATTTTAAAAATATTGATGATCATGGCAGCTTGTTCTTACCACTGGGATTTTTGCTCTACATGGGATGACATTCCCTCCCTCTCCCAGAGAAGTTGGTGCCTGAGTGACTCAAATTCTGACTCATCAGATTAACAAATTAGGTCCCTGGATATAAAGCAGATGCTGATGGTGTGCCTGCTTTTAATTGTAAATCAGACTTGAATCTTCAGCTATGATTCCCAGAAATCCAAGATGAAACATCATCATTTTCAGTCAATACCAGGTTGGGAGGAAACCTTAATGATCAATGATCATCTGGTTCAAGCTTTCTTGGCAAAAAGCAGTCTAGACATGATGGCCCAGCAGCCTGTCCAGCTGAACCTTACAGGTGTCTGCCATTGGGGAATCCACCACTGCCCTGGGGAGATTTTTCACAATAACAATCAACTAGTGGAATAGTTTTTCCTTATTTCCAATTGGAAGCATCCCTTACCCCTCATCTTTTCCATGTCACCCCTGTAAAAAGGGAATCTCCCTCCATCTTTGTAACCACCCCTGGAAGATGGTGCTAAGTTCTCTCCATAAGCTTCATTTTCTTAAGGCTGCACAAACACAGTTCCCTTAGTCTTAGCTCATAATACTACAAGAGTATAATAACGATACACTCAATTCCTTTGAGTGGCTGAGTGGACCAATGACAAGAATAAATGATTTCTCCTTTATGGATATACAGAGAAGATTCCTGCCACCATACTGGATAGCTGCAGATGATGACCCTAAGCAGGGGTGGAGTCCTCAAGTCCTGGCATATCCACCTGAGAATTTTCCTTTCCTTTTATGATGATATTCCTGTGTATGTATGGAGCAAGAAAGCAAAGTAGGGCTTGCAAGGCAAGAGAAGGGAGGAAATGCTATCAAGGTGTAGGGGGATAGAATACAAGAAAATAAAGATAGTGTAGAAAGTAATCTCAGCCCTAAGGAGCTGCAGCTGGGCCAGTTGTCAAAGACTGGGAACAGGCCTGACTTTAGCAGGCCACAGCTGTGACCAGTGAGAAGAAGATGCTATAAAAGAGTGGGGTGGCTGGGTGAGAAGGGCACTGGTGGCTGCTTTGTGAGAAGAAAGAGTCAGAGCTCTGAGGAGCTGCCCATGAGAAATACCAAGAAGGTATGGAACTCTTGGGATAAGGAGACAGCAGCATGGAACCCCTGCAATAAGATGACAACATCAAGGAGCAGCAATAGCACTACAGTCTTGTCAAAAGTGCCAGCACAAAACAGGTTTATTACTCAGTGTCTCATGATCAGGTGATAGAGGAAGTAGGGTGCAGGAGAGTTTGAATGCACAAGAAAATCTGAAGTTAAGGTGAAAGGAGAAAAAGCCAGGTCAGTCAAGTGTCCATATCCTGTCTGCTTACCTCACCTGGCCTCCATGTGCAGCAAGGAGCAGGCAGGGCTAGGCAGCTGAATTCCATGTGCCTGCTCACACACCAGTGTTGCACCCACACTGCTCCTTGTGGGAAATTCTGCTTAGGCTATAGTATGTACCACTAAAAAAAAAAATGATCCTTTGTACACAGAAAATGGGAACTGCTTTAAGGAAGGAGCCCTTTCACCCAATAGAGACAAATATTTTGTTCTGCATAGGCAGCTACTGCCCCTCCTAGCAGACATGCCTCTAGGTTTTGCCTCCAGTCATCTTGTTTCTGTTGTGACAAGATCAAGAAATTGTTCATCATGCCATTCTCTTCTCCCTTTTCCTGAGGCTAGCAACATATCAAAACCACAAGAATGAGCCTGTCCCAGAGCACAGTAGGTGCTAACATAAGCATGGATGGGGGCAGATGCAGTGCAGAGCACTGTCAAAAAGAGAAAAGAAAAATGATGTCTTCATTCTTGGCTCAGTAGAAAACTTTTCCCCCACCTCTATTCTGACTAAAGTCTTGTGTCCCACTGCAGGCTTGATTGTGAAATAGAAGATTTGCTAGAGAAAAGGTAGTTGCATGGAGCTGCAGGTTGCTGTGCCAAAGGCAGATCCACATGATTCAGACACACCTATTTATCAGATTGCTTTCCCAGGACCTTGCAGAAGCAATGCTGGCAGACCCAGAAGTGCCTCCTGTGCCTTGCAAGGAGCAAGCTCAACAGCAGAACTTGCTTTGCTCTAAGTCTTTTGAGACTTCCAAATTAAAGAGCACAGTTTCCAAAAGCTGTGCCAAGCTACTTACCCAAGGTTGCTGCTTCAAAGTCACTTTCCTCCTCTTTAGTCCAGCAGGAGCAGGGCAGGCTGCAGTCTGTAGCACTGATGTTATCACCTGCTGAACCTCATCATTAAATAAGGAATGAACATCTTTGAGCTCTGCTGTGGCATGCCACTGCATCTGACAGGAGGAGTGAATGTCAGGGAGGCAGAGGTGAGCCACTGACCTCAGCTCTGACAGTGGCCACTTGCCATGACCAGATTCATTTGTCAACAGCTGGAGACCTTTGCTCACTTAGTGAGCTCACCAGAGGAGTTCTGAACACACAGCTGGAATTCTCACCTGTTCCAACTGACCTGTGTTGCAGGGAGGAAGCCCTGCCCTGGTCTGCAGCATGGAGCTCTGCAGGCAGACAGAGATGCACCCATTTAGCACGTTCATGTTGGGAACAGACAGGTTCCACAGCAAATGGGGAGTGCCAGAGGCAAGGGTTGTTCTGAAAGAGGAGCAGACCCACTCCTGTCCTGTGGGAAAACCAGTGCCTAGTACAATCAGACTCCAGGATGCATTACTGACTCCACTTAAGCAGCTCCAGATAATTAGGGGCAGGGAACATTAAAAACCATGCAAGGACATTTATTCTGAACACTGCAGGTTATTCTAAAAGCCCTGAAGATTCAGAGCTCTGCACAATTTAACTGCAACTAAAATACTTGGGTGACAGTTAAAATTTCTGACTGATTGCACATAAAGGAGATGTTTTCCAAACTGACAACCTGAATGGAACAAACCCTAATAAACACGTAGAAACACCAAAGTTAACTCATTCCATCTGAATAGATTTAGAAAAAACCACTGGGTTAACTCACAGGGTTCTTGATGCTCTTGAGGTTTAATTTGTTCTTTACCAGTTAGTCTAAGTTCCCTCCAACTTTCAGATAAAAAAATGTTTCAAAAATTACACTAACAGCTTTCTGCCAGATAGGTTTTAATTGTATTAATGAAAATTATTTAAGTACTTAAACCAATAACTATATAGTTCATATTTGGTTTTTTTAAATGTTAGTGTTTCATATTTCTATGTCATGTCTTTGGAGTAAACACCATGACATAGAACTTAAATTCATTGTTCATTTAGCATACATCAAACCAGTCAAGTAGGGCCAGCTGGTCCTAATTGCTTTTACCAGTGGTTCAGAAATGCTTCTGCTTTTTAGGGAGGAAACAATGCTGGTTACCTTTCAAATGTTCTGCTTTGGCAGTTCTGACCACTGAGGTTGGCTGCTAAGGCTTTTTATGTATTACACAGGAATGCTGTGCCTGAGAAGGGTAGCTCCCAATGCTTGCAAGAATCAGACCATTGTTCAGATCCAAACTTCAATCTCACTAGCTCAGATTAACCTAATACACTACATTGTTCTCCAAAAGGTACCCAGCAGCAGAAAGATTATGGCAAGCACAGTACCTCCCCCTCAGAATTCTAGAACATTCAGTACCTCCTGAAGTGAAAATAATGTATTTATATTTTGAGTTGGAACAGAAAATCATAGTCTGAACACATTAAAACAAAAACTGCAATTTTAAGCAAGAAAGATGGCAACTTCAGCCCTTTTAAAAGGCAGGAATTCCATTAAATAGATAACTAAGACAACTAACTATAAAATCTTTGCTCTGAACTCTGCTTATCTTAAATATTCATGTAGGATAACTGAATTTCTTAACTTTAGCTCTTAGCCATAAAACTGTAAAACTTTGTAGACACTTTCCATCCTTCATCCAGCTATGAATAAATCATCAACACCAAAGATAATTTAAAAAAAAACAAACAGTGACATTAAATGGCTTGAAAAGAAACTGGTTTGCAACTTCTTAAGCCTTTACAAGTATTTCAACCCAAGTCAGTTTTCCTCTGCATAGGGAGGAAAGGCAATTATTCTTTACAGCTCATCTATATCACCATTCCATAGAAAGGTCTCAAATCTGCTTTAGAAATACCAAATTTCTCTAAAGCTTAAAATCCTTCAGCATAAGAAGACCAATTAAAAATTCACCCAGTATTACTTTAACCTTTTCTTTTTAATTACATGTAAAAATACTGGACAAATTCTATTTTGACATTACACTCCACCCTGAGCAACACACTGGCTACCTCACAGGTTGTGGGCATAATGAAGTCACTCTGTAGGTGGCTGGCAGACTTTCATACCACTTCTATTGTTTAGCCACAGATAGATAAGGGCCCACACTTAAACAAAACACACATTAAAACAGCACCACAGTCGAGACCGAGTTAAGAGGTACCGGTACAATCTTTTCAGGCACTCACCTTCTCAAAACAAACAATCACCCAAAAAACCACCCCAAAACCCAGGAGCTGAAGGCATCTAAAATTGAGTTAGAGCAGCTACTACTTCCACCTTCCTCAGATTCCATCTTTCAGATCCATGAAGAACATACACAGAGCCACCATTTGAGATTTAAGGGTGATTTGTAGCCAGGTTTGACCGCTTAAAGCCAAGAAGGCAAATCTACTGTGCTGAGGTATGGAAAGGTTCTTCACTGTCCAGCATGTCTACCTGTTCCCAATGAAAGATTTCCTTGGCAGGAAGTTTGATAACACCACCTCTGACCGCCTTTTAATATATAAGAAAGACAAGTATTTATGGAGGGTACTGTAGGTTTAGGGGGAAAAAACCAAACAAGATTATTTAACAACCTTTCTGTGTACACAAATGACTAAATGTGCTAATAGGCAGTATTGTCAGTGGCTGTAGCTAGACTTGTTTGCCAAAATAGTATCTGTTTTCATCCATAAAAGCCAAATTTCCAAGTAAGTGTAAATATTTATATTTGAAGCCATAGTAACATGGTAATAATTTTTCTTCAAAGATCAGAAAACCCCCAAGCTCTCTAAACAAGACTTTTTCCAACATGAAACCCCACATCAGGTACATTAAGTTACCTAAATGCCACCTGCTCACTCTACATGCCAACAGAAGCAGCTCGGGCAGTGGGTGGGACCCTTGGATTTAGCAATACTCTTGAATTCCCCACCTTTTTTTTTAACAAAGAAGTCACAGAAGCCATCTCAAAGATACCAGTTTCATTCTGATAGATTGCTCCTTTAAGGTACTCTCAGCAGAAAAGGTGGAACTTTAAAGCATTGCTTTAAATGACATATTTAAAACAAAGGCAGACTGAACAATTCTGTGCAAATTTAGTTCTTCCAACCATCAGTTTGGAAACATTTTCAACAGAATGTTTAAGTTAACAAATCATGTTAGTTTAGAATTAACAGGTAGGCACAGCATTTTAAAACTAGTCATCTAAATAGCATGTTGAGGGCAGTACAATACATTGAGAACTTTTAAACTGTTATGAGTCAGACAGACATTTTATATAGATTTAACACCTACCAAAGTAAATTCTGTAACAAAGAGATTTTGCATTAATGCATATAACACTGATCCTTAGGCAAACAGGGACACATTAAACCAACAAATCTGAGGACTGTGAGGAATGTTATAGCTGGTTGGAGTCTGCTACAAAATCCTTAAGGATGCATTGCTATGTTGCTGTACATCTTAATTCAGGACACAGGTGAACAGCTTTAGCAGGAAACCTTTATACCAGCCACTTTAAAGCAAGCAGACATTTCAAAGTTTTTTTGGTTGCCAGAAGTTTAATCTTGCTTCACTTCACCCTTTAATTGCCTTTTCATGCGTGAATATGGGCTGATTGTGTCATCCATCACGAAGTCATACAGTACTTTTATCCAAGAGTTATATTGGGGCAGGTGGTCATAGTATTCAGCTGCTATTTTCTTCACCTGAAGGAGAGATAGGAGGTTTATTTACTGGTTATGTTAACATCAGTTGTGACAACTTTACAACCCTCAGTGTGTAACCTGGTAATGTGTAACAGCACAGGAAGTTTCATTCCAGAAGTTAGATCCTACAGGAAAGGCCACTCGTGCCACAATGCAAACATTCCCTGAAGGAAAAAGCAATTCCCTAGTTATTAAGTAAATCTGCTGTGAAGTTTTTGGAGCTGCCAGAACAAACTCAGCTAACTTTCCAAAGTTCCTCCTTCACCATGTTTCCTACAGGGTGATGGAGCTCACAAAGCAAGTGGTTTGGTTGCTGTTCAAAGTGTGTGACTCAGTTCAGTGCTGACTCACAGATACACAACTAACAGTAAAAGGATGTTTTATATTCTAGGAAGAGCTGTTTAGCACAGCTATTTTTACTTGTAGTTTCAAATCTCGGTGCTCAGAAGAAAAAAGGCATTTTATTTCTGAGGAATATTTTGTTTCTGAAGACAGACTTCAAAGAATGAATAGAAACTACTTCCAGAGACTGTTCTCAGTTCCACGTGTTAACTAGACCACTGTTTAAACTGAGAGCAGCAGGTTCAGTTAGGTGCCCATACTGCTATTTAGGGCCAGCCACTTAAAGCCTTAAAAACACGACCAGAACAAGAAGGATTCTTCACAAAATTCCACAGCTTTAGTCCAAAGGATAACATCAATCTGTATAAGCAGCAAACAAACCCGAGGTATTTACATGGCTGGTTTGAAGGCAAAGCTTGTTTTGACCCATCACACCTATAAAATGGTGCACCTAGGCAATCTACTTTTACTCAACAGTAATAACTCTCAGCTCACCAGCTGAGAGGAATCAAGTGTTCAGTACTCAGGGATCTTTAGCACATAGCCCAGCAGTCCTATCCAATCAAATTAACTGCACTATTCCAAAAGAAGGCTTTGTTTTCTTATCAGAGCTGTGGATTATGAGTCCTGCAGCAGAACTGGGTGTCTACCCCTAGAATTAAATACTTGGAAAAATTCATAGCCTACTTATAGCTAAAGTACCTATCCAAGAAGTGAAATGCTGGTTCACAGCACAGACCCAAATATCAAAGATGAGTTAAAGCAACTTTCATGCATTTGAAAGATTAAAATCTATTAATAAAAGCAATCATCTAGGCTTAAAAAAAAAATTACAGAAGACCACACAAAGCCTCAGCAAACCAATTGAATGATCTACCTGCCCTGCTAAAAGTGCTGGTGTAGTTATTTCAGCTGCAGTTCCACCACTAACAACAGAAATACCAATCAAGTTTGGACTTCAGCAGAGGCATGATCTTACAAGGTCTCACTATTGCCAAATGCAATAACAAAGCTGTAAGACCAACACCACAGCTGCTGTCAAATTGCAAAATTGGTATCTGATGAAAAACTGAAGATTCAGGTGTAACCCTGAAGCCCAGGTTCCCATGCTTCAGCTGGGAAACACGGATACAGTGAGAAAGAAGCTCCTGCCTGTAAGAAGCAAAGGTTCAAGTAGGAGAAACTTCATGTCTGCTACTCATGCAGGCATGACAGGTCTAAGTCCTGACTTGGAACTCTTAATTCTGCCTGTCCTACACTGCCAACGTACAGCTGATGCTTATTTAGGGTTCAAAGGCTCTTGCCAGAGGAAACTGAAGTGCTGCAGACTAGAGAAGTTATTAAACATTTGTCAACAGTACAACAAACATTAACAGTACCTCAAACCCTCTCTCTTCCTCCACCAGAGGATGTCCCCGATAGAAGAGACTGAAGGATAAGCACACATTACAGTACTGCCCTTAACATTTCAATGCCAGAGATAACAAATCTCCAGAGTTAACCTCTTAACTAGTTTCTTGCATACTTACAAACAAGAATTCAGAAGACAGGCTGTAATTACAGAAAGCTAAAGTTAGTGCAAAGCATAAGATATGCGTTCCCTCCCCTCTCCTTTTATGGAAGGGGACCGAGCAGCAGCAAACTGGAAGCTTATTCAGGCTATCACTAAAATGCTTAATAATTAGCTCCTTTAACACTCATATTGTGGAAGGTTTTTTTGTTTTTCATCTCCCAGCTTCCATTCTTCTTATTTTTATGTTAAAGTAGGCCTCAATTTAAGAAAAAGTAATAACCTTAGAAGTTAACTTACCAGTGGAAGGCTCTTGCCAGGAATATTGGGGAAGTCATGATGTTCATTGTGATAGCCAACATTAAAAGTGAGCAAATTAAGTGGCCCATAGTAGGAATAGGTCTCATGTCCTTTTAAAAACATGTAATGTTCAGCTATGAAGTGTCCCGAAATTGGGTGCAACCCAAGACCAAGTACTGAACCAGCAAGCATGTAAAAAATGGATTTGACTCCCCATAAATAATATATTACCACATCAAAGGCGAGCTGAGCCAATAAATTGATTATTTCAAGTCGACTAATGGGTTTAGGATTGATGCAGAGAGGTCTAATGGCATAGAAAAAAGGCTGAAGAACAATCCATATGAACTTCCTAAAACGGGTGCAGAAAAACCAGCCCTCGAAGTTGGTAGGAATGTCCACATCGATGCCATCACCGCCGAGGTAACGATGGTGATCCATGTGGTACCTCTTGAAGGAGATGGAGTAGGGGAGGCCAAGAGGGAGGTTGGCAAATATTCCAAACCATCGATTCCACATGGCTTTGCAGTTGCCAAAGGCACTGTTGTGGGAGATCTCGTGGATAGCCAGAGTCATGGAGTGACTAATACAGCTTCCAAAAACGTACGCCCAGAAGACCACCCATTTCCAATCCAAGTCTTTAACCAGGTAGAACGCAGTCAGCTGCGCCAGAACCATCAGCACAACCACCCAGATCAGGTTGTAGTCTGGCTTCATCAATGCTTTGATCTCTGGATGTTTAGCTAGATGGGGAAAAATTAAACGAAGAAAGTTATTTCAAAGCTCTCCTCACAGCCAACTGTCCCAATTAGATGGCAGTTTTTTCCTCCCTTTGTCCCAATTAGGAATTGTCTGCAAAGGTAATGAAAACGCGTGACCTTTCCACTTGCGATACTTATAATGAATCATTTGCAATCAAGTCATTTTAGCACTTTTGCGTTGCTCAGCAACTACACACGTACATGGCAAGCACCAGTACCACATCAGCCTCCTCAGGAAGGAAACGCCTCTGAGCCGACAACCCCCCCGCTAATTCAGAAGGGCTCACGAAGGCTCAACCCCGATTTCAGCGCCGCGCTCGCCGCCGCTACCCGCCAGCCCCGGCCGAGACGCGGCTGCCGCGGTGACCTCTGCGCACAGCGGCCCCGGCACCGCCGTCCCGCTGGCAGGGCGCGGCCCGGGGCCGCCGGGGAACCGGGGCTCCTATTCCGCCGCCCGGGATGGCAGCCCGGGCCGCCGCCGCCCCGCGCCTCGGGCTCGGCCCCCGCAGGCGGCCGCCCCCCCGCTCCTTTCCCCGCTCCTTCCCTTCCCCTCCCCCGCCAGCGCCGCCAAGGCGGCGGCTCCCGCCTCCACGTACGCGGCCCCGGCCCGGCTCCGGCCGCCCCGCCGGGACGCTCCGGGGGCACGCGGCGCCCCCCGACAAGGGCGGCCATCTTGTGGGGTGCCCGTGCGCGTCCCCCCCGCTCCGCCACGCAGCCGGCGGCTCCTCACCCAGGATCTCCTTGCGGCGGTCGGCGTGCGGCTGGTCCGTGTAGACCCACTCGAAATCCTCCCTGGCCACAGTGTTCCCCATGACGGCAGCACAAACCCCCCACACCGGCTGCCCACCCGCTGCGCCGAGCCCCCGCTACCGCACTTTATAGCGCGGCGGAGGCGGCCCGGGGCCACGCCCCCCCCGCCCCGCCCTCGCCGCCCATTGGCCGCCGCCGGCTGCTGGGCGCGCTCCCGCCGCCGCTGCGCCCCCTGGCGGCAGGGCGGGGCGGGCCCTGAGGGGCTCGGGGAGCGGGACAGGAGGAACCTTCAGAGCGGAGAGAAACAGCCCTTAGAGAGGGACAGGAGAAGCCCTAAGAGCGGGCAGGGGCAGTCCTCAGAGCGGAGAGAAATAGCCCTCAGAGCGGGGGACAGGAACAGCCCTTAGAGCGGAGAGAAATAGCCCCAGAGAGGGACAGGAGCAGCCCTCAGGGAGGACAGGAGAAGCCCTAAGAGCGGGCAGGGGCAGTCCTCAGAACGGAGAGAAATAGCCCTCAGAGCGGGGGACAGGAACAGCCCTTAGGGCGGACAGGGGCAGCCCTCAGAGAGGACAGGAGGAGCCCTCAGAGTGGGCAGGGTCAGCCCTCAGAGCGGGACAGGAGGAGCCCTCAGAGAGGACAGAAGGAGCCCTCAGAGCTGGAAGGAGCAGCGATCGCCGTCCTAAACCCGCGTTCCCGTGATCTGCTGTCCTGGTCTGATCCCGTGCTTCCAGGCCCCTGCCTAAAGGTACTGAACTACAACTCCAAACGCCTATAGCAAAGTTTCCATTTCCTTCCCTTTTTGTGGTAAGATATTTGAAGAAATTCTTTGACAAACTCCTCTGTAAGGACTTACCTCCATTTAATCTGTCACTGCATGTATTTGTCATGAAACACTGACTGTGGGCAGTTCAGTGAGAAAGATTGCCCTGTGTAGAAGTTGAACTACTTCTTGCTTGGAATTTCAGTTGTCCCCTCATAATAATCTACATCAGTAGATCAAAAAATCCACTCAAATTAATCTAAATCAGCAGTAGTGATAAAAACAATGGAGGCTATTATCACAAAGTAAATTATGCCTTATCTGTTCAGGTAGTATTAGTATCTCAAGGTTATGATTCATCACTTTAAATTTATTAGTAATAACGAGTACAAAAGGCTCATGCCTACAAGCTGCTGGAAGTCCCACATGCAACAGGGCTTTTGGAGGGGAAATTCAATCCCTACCTGGAAATGTCTGCAACTCTGTGAAGCAGTGGGCAAAGCACAGGATCTATAAAACATAGCACTTTTGTGAATAGTTTGGTTTGCATGCATTTTAATTAGAGCACATTGGGGTGGGATTTAGAAGTGAAAAATGCAGCAAGGAGGTGAGACACGGGAAAGGTTTTGCTCAGCCTTTCCCTCCTCAGTCACAAAATCTGAACAGTGCAGACTGGTGCAGCATAAGAGGCAAAGCAGATGTCTAGATTGCATCGAGGCTCTGTGACCTTGCCAGGTTTACTTTTTGGTCAGTGACCATTTCACAATAAACCAGGAAGCTTTGGGGTTGCCAGTGCAGCAGCTGGCTGCAGAATCGCTGGGGTCACAAGCGTTTTACTCAGCTGCACTCCAAGCACCACATGGAACGTTTCTGACAGCGCTCCCTTCCGGCTGGAAGGGATAATAGTCAAATATTAGCACTGCTGATCTTTGTGCTAAAGAGCTCCTCATCCATGGGAAGGATCCTGCCAAAAGGAGTGTGGCAGCAGCAGGTGACAGGAGCGCTGGAGGAGTGACAGCACACGAGGAATTCGGTACACAGAGGCAGGTTTACAGCACCACAAACATACACAGGTTTGTAAATGGTCGTGAATTAAACAGAGGACCCCAGGTTTATAAACTAAACATTCCAGAGCAGTTAAACAAGGCTTAAACAACTAAAAAAAATATATTAAATAGGAAAGCTTTGGACAATTTAATTGCCCAAGTGTACTGGAGAGCAAAGTGTTTTCCCTATTTAATCACTGCATTTGATCATTTTGTGTAACATATCCAGATTTATTAGGTCTTCAGCAAGCCAACAGTGTTTGTATCTGATGTTTTCCATTCCAGAGACAGTGAGATCCAGTACCTATTGTGTCTCCAGCTGGCACAAAGCTTGAACAACAATCCTGGAATGTTCACTTACATGTGAACCAAAGCCAGGACTGCATCCTTAGAATGGGCAAGGTGAGATCCAGGCAGGAGGACTGCAGGAGTGGAGAGCACATGGACAAGCAAGCTGGCCCAGGTACAGTGCAGAGTAGCACAGAAATGCAGCTTGAGTTGAACAGAATAGTTCACAACTAGCAGACATGTTGCTGTAAAATAGTCCAAACTGAATTTACTAATTAATGAAGTAACAATCACTGAAATTTGCTAATTAGCCTCTTAAAAGCATCAGGAACACCAAGGAATCAGAGAATCCTCTCCTGTGCTGAGACACATTCTACTCTATCCTACATCATCCTATTTTCAAGAGGCTCTTAATGTTGAAAATTCCTCTGGCAGCCCTAGTGCTCCCCACAATTCACTGTTAGAAGGTCTGAGTAAGAGCAACCAAGTTTCTGTTCAATTCTGTCTCACCTTTTGCATTAACAAGTTACACACAGGCACCCTTTGTAGCATTAATGAATATTAACATGCCATGCTGAGTATCAGAAACTGACCGAGTTCCATTTGTTTCCATCTGTTTTTAATCTGTGAAGTTTGCAGGTACTCTTCCTTCCTTCTGCACTTCCATTAGCCCAAGGTTGGGAGGGTCCTTACATACTCTAGTTACACAGAAGCTGTTCAGTTTGGGAAGCAAGACCTTGTCACAAACAGCTTTTCCCTCAAAAAAAGTTCCACCATGGTATCTTTTGATCTTATTTTCACCATGTTCACTAGGTACACAAATTCATATTAAAAAATCTCCAACCTTAATATGAAACAAAAAGCAAGTGCTAAGTTTCTAAGCAAGTGCTATTTTTAGAAAAGCAGCAAAGCTGGCCTCGGTAGTTTTAAGTTATTTTAAGACATCAGATATAAGACACTTAAAATTGCTTCTCCTGACAGCTCTGACTTTTCTTTCAGCCCTTGACACAAGTACTAAAATTGAACAGTGGATGGAAATAAATCAATTTCTCATGTAATTTTGCAAACTGCATCTCAGTCTCACTGTTTCAAGGCTCTCCCTTGAACAGATGATACAATCACTAATCACTACCAACACTGCTTCGAGGCTGATACACCAACTCACATAAATGTGCACAGGCATTGAGAGTGACAAGAGATATAGTTTTACTTCAGGTGATTCATCAGCTTGCTCATATATTGCAAAATTCATCCTTTTTATTTAACAAGGGACAATAAGGTGTCAGAAATTAATGTTCCAGCTGTTTTGTCTGAACAATTACTTCATTCTATTTTTATTTCCCATATTTTTCTGGTGTACATTCCAACCAAGAGCCATCTGATGTTTCCTTCTCTGGGATGTGAAATAAAAACCACTGGTGTATCTTTATTGTGGAATTTCTTGTAACCATCCCCTCTACCCCTTCAGTTTCATGGGCCTCATTCCATTTCACTGGAATGAAAAATGTCAGCACATGGAGGAGCAGGATGCACCTGCAATCCTGGAGCACATGATACTTCCTTAAGCTGAAGGGTCCAAGCTGGCACAGTTCCCAGTGAACACTTCCCATAACAATTGGCTGTTGTTTTCCAGCTCAGTTTAGGAACAGCCAGAGATTCCCCAACACATCCAGAAATGCTACTCTGGACTAAACCTGAAACGATTTGTACACTGGGATGGTGGGGAGGGGGAAATTGTCTGCATGTTCTAGAAATTAATAGAGAAACTGAAGTGAAAAATATTCAAAATGTATGAATAAACCCCTTCATTAAATGAAATTCACAAATTTATATTTGTTTGGAAGCATTTAACCACAAGTAGCTGGTAATTAGTCCATTACAGGAATTTTTTATCACAAATAACCATTCAATGAATTTGTATCACACAGTAATTCTAGCTATCATGCTGACCCTTTGACTCCAAATTGTATTTTAAAAGTTAAGGTATATGCCAGTATTTTTAAGCTGAATAGCAGGTATCTATCTCCAAGACAGAGTTACCTGTAAAAAACATTCTGAGCTGTATCAACCAGTAAAAGCAAATGCTCCTTCAACAGTTTAAGTCTGCTCTCAGACAGCCTTCTATAATTTCCTTGATTATTAAGAAAAATGCCCTTTTTTTTTGGAAAGGACTTAAACTACTCGAGAAGTTTATTTGAAAGCTGAATGTCTGTCAAATATTAGACATTTGTAATGTTACTTCTGGTACGAGCTACTGTGTTTTAGAAGTAAAAATTGTAGCTGAAGTTTCAGGAAAAACATCAGTTTGCCACGATTATATAATACCTGACCAGACAACTTCTGATTTGTTTGGTGCTTTAAATACAGCCACTAGGTTATGCTGACAGCCATACAAAATGAACTTGCACTTTAACCCACAGCAGGAATATCAAGATTGTGAACAGCTACAAAATGCAGCATTTGCATTTTCAGTGCCATACCAAGTTGAATTCAGAACCACCTAAAGACAAAGCAGCAGCTGGTTAAAAAAAGAAAACAAAAGTCAAATTATAAAGCTACATAGTTTAGTACATTAAAACAAAACCAAAGACAATGGTATTTGTATAAGATTCCAAAAATATACAGATGGCAGGGGGGGAATAATCACTGTACACAACTCTGAGGTGGTTAAAGTGACCAGAGAGACTGAACAGTGCAAGACATGCTTTTCCAGTTACAAGCTCAAAACAGAAGTGCAAAAGAAATTAAAGCTCTGTCTGAAGTGATTTACCTTTTAGGATAAGGAAAGCTTAGAATATTGTCATCAGTGTTACAGAGAAATTTCCACCCCAACCCCAACACAGACACACAGAATAGCTGAAGTTTTACCATAATACAGCATTTCACTCCAGTGATGTCCCCAGAGCGTGGTGACTCCGGGGACAGTTGGCAGGTGCTCGGTGTTGGCCACGACCCAAGGGATGCCCAGGCAGCCTCTCCACTCTCCAGCTTTGGCTAACAGCAGATCCCTGCCCTCCAGGCAGGGCGAGGGGCGGCCACA